TATTCTCCACCCCCGACAGACAAATTTACGACGTCATAGAGACTATGAGGTATTATGGTGGCTGTAGCAAGAATAGTAAGTATATTTACTCGGCCAAGGCTAGATGTGACACAAGGTCGTTTTAACGTGTGGAGCGACATACGCATGCTTATGTATATGAGCCAAGGAAAAAATTTCCCCCGCGCTCACTGTTATATCGGTATTAAAACCGACCCAACCTCTCTCAGTACAATAAGGTGCTGCTACAGGGTTGGATCCCCTAGGCTGAGCAATTTCTCCCCCACCAAAATGAGGAGAATCATAGCTCCACTTACAACCATGCCTCAGTTAACCCTTATTGGCTAATGTTTAACTCTTGTTCCCAGTCAAGATATAAAATTTATTCAGCTAATAATATTCCCAGTCAAGATGTAAGATTTATTCAGTTAATAATATTCTCAGTCAAGATGTAAGATTTATTCAGCTAATAATGTTCCCAGTCAAGATATAAAATTTATTCAGCTAATAATGTTCCCAGACAAGATATAAAATTTATTCAGCTAATGTTCCCAGTCAAGATATAAAATTTATTCAGCTAATAATATTCCCAGTCAAGATATAGGATTTATTCAGTTAATAATATTCTCAGTCAAGATATAAGATTTATTCAGCTAATAATGTTCCCAGTCAAGATATAAATTTATTCAGCTAATAATGTTCCCAGACAAGATATAAAATTTATTCAGCTAATAATGTTCCCATTCAAGATACAAAATTTATTCAGCTAATAATATTTCCAGTCAAGATATAAAATTTATTCAGCTAATAATGTTCCCAGTCAAGATATAAATTTATTCAGCTTATAATATTCCCAGTCAAGATATAAGATTTATTCAGCGAATAATGTTCCCAGTCAAGATATAAGTTTATTCAGCTAATAATATTACCAGACAAGATATAAAATTTATTCAGCTAATAATGTTCCCAGGCAAGAGATAAAATTTATTCAGCTAATAATGTTCTCAGTCACGATAAAAAATTTATTCATTTAATAATATTCCCATTCAAGATACAAAATTTATTCAGCTAATAATATTTCTAGTCAAGATATAAAATTTATTCAGCTAATAATATTTCCAGTCAAGATATAAAATTTATTCAGCTAATAATATTCCCAGTCAAGAACATTATTAGCTGAATAAATTTTATATCTTGAATGGGAATATTATTAACTGAATAAATTTTATATCTTGACTGGGAATATTATTAGCTGAATAAATTTTATATCTTGACTGGGTACATTATTATCTGAGTAAATATAAAATTTATTCAGTTAATAGTTTTCCTCGGCCTTTGGCCTCGATGGCCTTTCGTAACTGCCCCAGCAAGTTTGCATAGTGCTCTCCATTGATGGTGTGGCCCTTTTGAAGATAGTCAATAAACACAATGCCTTTTGCATCGCCCTCCAAAAAAAAAAAAAAAACTGAGGCAATCACCTTACCGGCAGATGAAATGAACTTGGCCTATTTGGGTGCAGTCTTTGTCTCTGGCTCAAAGTGATTAACCTAACACTGATCCTGAGTTAAGAAACATTCAAGGAAACGATCTGGATCGGCTTCAAACAATGTCAGATTTTGCCGTAAAGTGATCAGCCTGGTGCGCTTTTGATCTGGTGTCAGAAGACGTGGCACCCACTGAACAGAATTTGGTTTATACTCAATCGTCTGCCATCCAGCACCATCTGGTGAATACGATCAATAGTTTCTTCGGTAGTGGCAGTTTTCGGACGTCCAGACAAGAATCTACCTTCTGCTCCTAAATTGGGCCGTTCTCTTTAGAACTGTCGATAAAACTGTAATGTAGCAACCATGTCAGCATGAATATATTGGTGGATAAACCATTTTGCTGCAGGTACTTGATAACGCCACGGTGTTTTGTTCATTTTGAGGTCTTCTTCGAACAGAAAAGTTGAATTTAAAACATCCAGGATTTCAGGGCTAAAAATTTAAAAATAAATCTTTGGTCATTTATCTAAACAAGCGTCCAAATTCGCTTCTTCTACTCCAACCAACGTCCAGCCTTGAGATCAACAAATTCAGAAAGTCATGGTAACATCGTGAAAAGCTCAACCAAACAATTACCATGAAAGTATTTATTGAAAAGACACAAGTAAGCTACATTACGGCGGTGAAAAAGTGTCTGAAGCCGAGATGTCAGGTCAATATTGTTGATTCTTCTTTGGATTTTGTCAAGAATCACGATATACATAGCAGAACTCCTCACTGATATTTTTCCCTCTGATTTAAATTAAATTTAAATTTGAACAGAGGAATTAATCTTATCCAGAATATAGAAGAAAGCCAGTAGATGGTGGTCACATCGGCAAGATCAAAATGAGACAATATGGACGTCAAGTTGAACAAGAAATCTCCAATTAGTGGGTAGTGCCTTACAATAAATATTTGTTGCGACAATTCAACTGTCATATCAATTTGTTTATCAATTCATTCAATCAAGAATTCCATCAAATACATATCAAAGGGGCCATATCAAGCTATTTTTGCATAATCCCCACCCCGACAGATTTTTTTAAATTTTATTTAAACTTGAACAGGGGAGTGACTCCTATCTACAATATAGAAGGAGAAAGCCAGAAAATGGAGGTCACATCGGTAAGGCCATTGAGTAACAGTGAAATGCATCATTTTTCTCCAGAAATTATAACAATGATTTAAAATCGATTTACTTTTTTTTTTCAAAAAATATGTGACATGCAGTAAGGAGCGGGTAATTCGGCTAGTATAATGATATAAAGAAGTAGCCGAAGTATGATAAATAACCTTTTCGTAATGTTGGGGGATAATTTAAATGCTTATTCAAAGGTGAACGCCCAAATCGTTTTAATGGCAAACGACATTTGGTGCCCGAAATAAAATAGTCATCCATTTATCAATCGAAGTTTGGCTTATTTTTTCTGAAGCGATTATTTTTACCCCCCCCCCACTTTTTTTTAAAAAAAGTCTTTTCTTCACTGTCAGGCTATTTTTATCTTTTAATTATTCCTTACCTAAACCGCATTACGTTTGCCAGGTGACCCATCTATGTTGCCGGGTTTATTTCTCTCGCGCTAACCCTTCAGTGAATTGCAAAGCGGCCGACGCCCATCCAAATGAATGGCCCTTATACAACTGATAGAGGCATGCACAAAGATATTTCTGACTGGTTTATGGATCCAAAGGGCAGACGGGTTCGCCAAATCTACTCAATGATTGCGTTGCCTCTTGAAAACCGATTTGATCTTTGACGAGAAACCGAAGAAAAAGCCAACGATGACATTTTGTATAAAAAAAAAAGTCTGCGTGCGACAGAGAGATGAATAAATTTTGATAGGTATAAAGAGACTGAGATAGACAGACAGGCAGATATATATATATATATATATATATATATATATATATATATATATTGATATCTCAGTTTCAGTTAATTCCTTCAGTAAATCAACTCCCCAAGGCTCCAAGGACACATGGCCCAGTGGATAAAAATGTTGGTTGAGTAATCTAAAAAGTGACTTCATTTGTGAGTTCATACCTGACCACAGCAGAAATAATAAATACTTCGAAAGTTAAGTTTCTCACGAGGAGTTAACTGAAGCTGAGATATCCAAAAGAAGGCATGGCACGTGGAATTAGAGCAATCAACACCCGTGGACTATATCACCTGAAGAAGATCGGAGCGTACAAGTGTAGAAATGTCGGGAATGTGGCAGTAAAGATGGGGACAACAGCTCGAACGATGTAAATAGGGTAAATAGTTACAATACCTTATCTCAAAAACATAAACAGATCCTGAAGAAGACAGGGGCGTACAACGGTGGAAACGTCGTGAATGTAACAATAAAGATGAGGAAAATAGTTCGAATGGTGTAAATAGT